CAGTCTTTCCTCTTTCCACAGGAAGCTCCTCCTCCAACATGGCTGACCCCTGGCAGAGCGCCATGGACCACGCTGTCGCCGTGGCACGAAAAGCTGGAGAGGTCAGTCATCTTCTTCCTTTTTCTTTCCCACCTGAGACTCACCTGTCAGGGCCTACAGGTGATTTCATTATGAAACAGGGGGAGGAAGTTCATCTTTTCACCTGAACGTGAGCGTCACTCGCCCATGTGACCTTCAGGGTCAGCTGACGACTGCTTGACAGTGAGCGTGCGCCGTCACGACTGCAGAATCCGCTTCCTGCCATTTCTTCACTTACTGAGCGCGCTCCAAAACAGAGGGGGTGGAGTCACTTTCTTCTTCTCTGAAACGCTCAAAGAGGAAACAAAGGCTTTTATCTTGAAATCGGAGGTTAACCCCAGATGACAGACTTAGTGACTGAAACTATTGGCTGATCAGCTTCTGATTGATAAGCTATCAGTGCATTGATCAGGAGTAAATATTGATCAGTTATTGGTGCATTGATCAGGTGGTGTGTGACGCTCTGCGTGGCGACAGGGCAGTGATGACGAAGAGCTCGGTGGTGGATTTAGTGACGCAGACCGACCAGAAGGTGGAGCAGCTCATCATCCAGTCAGTGAAGGAAAAGTTCCCCACCCACAGGTATGAAGCTCCACCCCCTCTGTGCATGTCCAGTCGGATCATCAGTTTACAAAGATAAGCGTTATGATCAGATCCAGATGTTCAGGATCCAGCTGTGTGCTGCTGAGCAGTAGCAGAGATGACCTGCTGGAACATCTCTGGCTCTTCCTCGTTCAGCGTGTAACGGCTTCACCTGTTCTGTGCGTTTCAGGTTCATAGGGGAGGAGTCAGTGGCTGCAGGTGAGCCCTGCGTCCTCTCTGACTCGCCCACCTGGATCATCGACCCCATCGATGGCACGACCAACTTTGTTCACGCGTGAGTTTGCACTCTCTGACATCATCATTGCAGCTTCTTTGTTTCCTGTGGGCGCTCAGAGACAGTGC